AGCAGGTGTCTACCATTTTACTTTTTATCCAATCCCAGAGGTGCCCCCCACCACCCCCCACATCCCCCACATCCCCTGCTTTGCTTTCTCCTGCCTCCCTAACCTGTCACCAATGGATTTCATGTAACCCACTTAGTCTCCTCCTTTGATTGTAATGTATAAAATAAGGTGCAAAATTGCCATTCTCCAGAGCATTATCTCAACCTGCTGAGATTTTGCTTTCCGGAAATTGTTGACAGTTTGGCTCAAATTATCTCAAAAATTCTCTATAGGTTTGAATGTTTCTCACGTTGAACATCCATTATCAATTGCCAGTTAGATGGTCCAACTCAAGGAAAGACCATTATATGGACTTCTTCAGATTCTAATTTTCTTCTAAAAATCACTTATACCTTAAATTATTCCTTTTGAATATAGCCTCTAGGTCATGGCTCAAGTTTTAATTCTGGGTCCAAGTAAACAATTTAAAAGGAATCTTCTTATCTTTAAAGTGTTTCCAAAAACAAAGTGTTTCCTTCCTTCCTTCTTCTTCTTCTTTTTTTTTTTAAACAAGGTTAAAGCTAAATCATAGGTACTTAAATTTAAATCTTAGGTGCCGTCTCTTATATTGCTGCCTTACAAATTTCTAGACAAGACAGAATTGCATGTGACCAGTAATTAAAACTAAATAGTTATGTAAGACCCTCCAGTTTATAAAGTAGAACGGGTATAAACTAATATTTTACATAATAAAATAATGTTATCAATGTTATATTTTAGAACATTTCTCTGGGTAAAATTTAGCTAACCGAAGCCACAGTTATTTTTAAGAACAACCAGCTCATGATTCAGTACAATAATTAAAATTATGCTAAAGAATCGTACATAATGTTACTGACACCAACGGTTTACCTAGCAACCATAATTTGTGAGGTAAACAATTGGTCTACTCAGTGTGTGAAGAGACTTGAGGAGGCAGCAGACCTGAATGCATTAACCGGGCTTTATTCTTAAAAGGACTCTGCAGAATGACGAATGAAAAGGAAAACATTCTTGTCAGAACAACCAGCTAAGGACAGTCTTAGTCATACAACTGAAATACCAAAACACTAAAATTTAAATACCTTTGGAAAAAAGCCAAAGACTTCTGCTCACCAACAATTCTAAGTTTTAATTAAGCATCTGTTCAGTTTAAACGAATATAATTTTAGCTCTGATACATTTAAAAATAAGGCTACATTAATTTTTTTTCTGGAGAAAATCTATAATAAAAAACCCTAACCCATACAGTGTATATTTTAAGGAACTAATGTTTACCCATATGGACATAATAGTAACTTAAGCAATCATTTAAAACCCCACAATATTTACTTTTCTCAGTCATATAATCCTTTAAAATCCACCATGCCAGATTCAGCCCCTAGGCACTGGATGTGTGCTATTTACAGCTGCATAAATCCTAATTTCCTAAGTCATGGTGATTAAAAAGCGAATAGCTAAAACTCTGAGGTAGAGAAAAGTAAACACATGCTCCTAACCAGGGGCAGCCTGCTGGCAGACCTGCAACATCCCATCACAGGGCAATCAAACGCGGCGCAGTCCGTGCTTCCGACCCACGCTCTCGCGTCCTGACTACTAGGGCAGCCCTATGTTCGTTGGAGCATTATTTACAATAGTCATGATATGGAAGCAACTTAGGTGTCCTTTAATAAAGGAATGGACTAGAATATTACTGGAATATTACTCAGCTATGAAAAAAATGAAACCTTGCCATTTCACTTATATGTAGATTCCAATAAACTAAACAAATGAACAAACAGAACAGACTCACAGATACAGAAAAATGATAGTTGCCAGAGGGTTGGACAGTGGGAGGATGAGCAAAAGGTGAAGGGGATACAGGGGTACAAACTTATAGTTATAACATAAATAAGGGGTGCAGAGTACAGCATGGGGAATACAGTCAATAATGTCACAATAACTTTGTATGGTGGCAGATGATTACTGAATTTTTCATGAACACTTTGTAAGTTACATAAACGTCAAGTCACCATTTGTACACCTGAAACTAGTATAATTTATATATCTACTATATTTTAATGAAAAGAACTTTATATTCCAGAATAAAATTTTCAGGAAAAGAGGTCACACTTTCCAGGTAGATCAGGATTTGAACCCTTGCTGCCTGAGTCTGAGGTTATCTGTAACTACTAAATTAAACACCTTGGAGGGTTGTCAGAATGACTAAATGGTTCCATGTATACACACAGTAAGAATATTCTTGCCAGCACTGTGATGGGCCCTAGGAGTGAGCAACACAGCTTTTGTGCACAAACAGCTCAACTACTGTTCTGACATTTACAGCAAAGGCAGTCTCCTTATGCTCAACCACCCAATTCATGAAATACCCATAAGATTGGTCTAGTTCCACATGCCTGGCACATAGCAGACCCCCATAGGTAACTACAGAATGCTAGTGCTGCGGTTCCCGTGGGAGTCACCCTCATTTGTGCTTCTAGTTCTCTCTAGCTCCACAAATTCACTCATTTGTGACTTGATTACCCACCTGGAACCATAACCGTTATGCCCCAGTTACATGGGCAACCCTCTGTGACACCCTCACCACCCCCAGATACCCAGCCACCACAGGGGCATCTCTTCATCAAAAACCTTGCTTCCCTTAGGTGCACCTCACAAATGGGAAAATCCTGTCAGAGCCTTCAGCTCCAAAGGACCCCATCCACCCCCACACTCACATGAGCCCGTCTCTACCCTGCCCTGTGGAAAAGTCCCACTCGCATTAAGTGCATGGTGCATGTAAGACGAGACAAAGCCTGGGAGAGAGGAGGGAAACGGCTGGCATCCTTCATTAGAACTCACAGCACATTTCCTCACAAAAGCTGAGGATCTTAACCTTTTCTCTCTTGCCAACGCGCCAGAGGATTCAGTGGCCTGCAGTGACAGCCCCTCCCTGCAGAAGTGAGTCTTCATGAGGGAGGGGTGGCATGGCCTCCCCGAAGGACGTATCGGAATATTGAAAAAGGGTGGTGAGAGGGGGAGACCTAGAACACCTCACAGGTAATTCTGATCTGCCCCCTGGAATGAGAACCACTTTTATAGAAGGTCATTAGCTGCTATTACATTATGCGGGCTACCCCTATGCTACATGATGGTTCCAATAGGACTTGCAGAATCGCTTAAGAATATAAGCACAGTAATAAAAAATTTTAAAAAATTAAAAAAAAAGAATATAAGCACAATTTAAATAATGTTTCTATGTGAGAAAACTCTTTCCAAGTCCCAAACAACAGACTTACAACATTACCTACTTCCAATTTGTGACTGTCTGTAAAAGGGGGGAGAAAGTGACTAATCGTTAACTGTGAAGTCCTCTGGGTTCTTCAGCTGAGACTCACAGAAGCGTTGCAGTGGGATCCAATCCCTCTGGCAACCACATAAATCTGATGCCACAACCTGGTTCGAATCTTGGTGGAGGGGGGAAAAAATCTTCCAGAGAACTGCAGCTTTCCCATGCCCTAACATATAAATATTGGCGTATTTCTTAAGCAGCTGAGATTTTTTTAGAGTCCAATAACAGGTTATCCTAATGTTTTTTTTGCTTCACAGACAGAGAAATGGATATACATAAGTACCAATTTCTGGGTCATATTTACAAGATGTAAAATGAGTCTGGACTTCTGTCTCTACAATACACCTTTATTCTCATCTAACCCTCTGGCAACCACATAAATCTGATGCCACAACTTGGTTCAAATCTTGGTGGAGGGGGGAAAAATCTTCCAGAGAACTGCAGCTTTCCCAGGCCCTGACGTGTAAATATTGGCGTATTTCTTAAGCAGCTGAGATTTTTTAGAGTTCAATAACAGGTTATCCTAATGTCACAGAATGTGCTATGATCACTGGGTACACCCCCATCATCACCCATAGGCCACACAGCAAATCATTACAGATGCCCGAAATGCATGTGACCTGCTCTAGAATTTAAACTGGTAAGCTGTGATTCAGGGCTATCCAAGCAGTTACTGCACAGTAAAGCATGCAAAACAATGCCACGACGTGAAAGAAATAGAAACTGACCTTCATGAGATGCTGATTTATCCATTTTGTAAACGTTTTCTTTTGAACTTTGTCCCGTTCATCTGCAAGGGGGGGAAAGACATAAAACAAGGTTGGTAAACTCCATGAATACACTTTAATTGTGATCAAGCATAGAAACAAAAAAAAAGGTATTCAAAAGAGCACTGTTTAGCGCATTTGCATTTTCTTGTTGAATTCTGGCAACTGTAGGCTGTCTGTAAGGAAGTGTTAAAGAGCTGTGTTCTATCAGACTGGTCTCTTTCCCGAGCTGTAATTGCCAACATTACTGCTTTAAACAAATGTCCTCTGCATTCTGTAGCATAAGCCCCAATCACCACCACCGCCACCACCACCACCAAGATGTCTAATCTAAGCTTTTCACCTTCAGGTAAGTCCCTGCACTGAACTGCCCAAAGTGTTTCACCAGGTATTGCATCCCATTGGGTCTTCACATTCATACGAGAGAGGGGTAGGCAGTTTCATTACCATTTTCAGAAAGAAAGGCTCAGGGAAGTTAGAAGAACTGTCCATGGTTATTCAACAAATGGTTTAAAATTGTAATAAAAGACAGGACTGCATTCTGGTCCTCTGGTTTAATTACTAGCCATGCTGCTTCTCTCTTAGATGCCCATTTTAAATTGTCTGGTAAAAAAAAAAAATACATCCCACCTAGATCCTCACTACAGAGAGGGATACCGCCCAGTGACTGCTACAGCCAGGAGGCAGAGACCGCGGGAGACGGCTGCTGATGGTGGAAGGAGAAAGACTATTGGAATGCTCTGGTTCATCAAGTTAGTATTTCAAAAGAGAATCTTCATCTTCCAAGGTCTAGAGTGCACATGCAGTGCTACGCTACTTTCTTCCTCCCTGCGTCTAAGGAGGCAATCCCCTACTTTCTCGTTTCCTTCCTTCCTCCTCTGTGTGTCTGGGTCACCTCTCTTTTTCACTGGTCTTCTTTCCTCTCTCACCACAGTCCAGACATTGTTGGTCCTTTCCCTAGGGCTCTCTTCATCTCTTCCTTCTCATTCTTTATCCATGAACCTTCTTAAACTATTTTAATGAAACTAAAGTTTCTTTAAAATGTTTGTCCTACTTATTAAAAGTATGTATGTACTTTACAATAATTTAAATATAAACACAAATATAAAAATAAATCAGTTGGGAAATATATCTGTAAGACAAAGGTTACTAATATTAATACCAAAAAAAAAGAAATTAAAAAATGAACTTCTTAATGTATACAGACATGTAATCCATTGAAAAAAATTAATGCCCACAGGTACTCAACCTCTCTAGCAAATAACAGTAATAATATAAAATAACACAAATCAAGCTTTCTAACCTATATAATTTAAAAAATATTGATGTTGACAAGAAAACAGGGAAAAGACACACACATATATATCGCTAGTGGAAAATTAAACAAGATTTAATTTGGTTTAAATCTTTTGGACACTACTCAATACTATAACCACTAGTCACATTTGGCTATTTAAGTTTACACCAAAATTGGCCTAAGATATTGGACAATACAGATATAGGATGTTACCACATCACAGAAATTTCTACTAGACATCACTGCTCTAGAGCAATTTGCCA